AGAAGACCACAATTTTCTCGGGCCATTATCTCCGTAACCGTTCAACTTTGGACATAGGTGTTTTGGGTTATATCGGCATACTTTAACATAAGGAACACCCTCCCGAAGTTTGGTCCATTCCTCCTGGGACACCCTGTGTATATATATATATATAGAGGGGTGGATAGAAGTGACCAGAAGACAAGGAAGAAGATGCAAGAAGATGCTGGATGACCTTGGGGACAGAAGAGGATACTGTCATTTGAAGGAGAAAGCTCTAGACCCCATCAAGTGGAGGAATTGTTTTGGAAGAGACTGTGGACCTGTCATCTGACAGATTACTCATGAATGAATGAATATATATATATATATATATATATAAACTGAAAATGATGCATGCATGAATCCACTAACTCACCTGAAGTGGTGAAAGCACTGTCACAGAATTTACATCGGTGAGGTTTAGTTCCCGTATGAGTGTTGACATGGTTCTGTAAGGAAGCCAGAGTCTTGAAACCTCGTTCACACACACTACACTTGTGTGGTCGCTCTTCAGAATGAGATTTCATGTGACGTGACAGCAGGTACCTGAAACAATATACATTGCTTATTAGGACCTAATACTGCTCACAGCTCTGTGAATTGGGATGAAGGCATGGACGCTGAATAGGCTTTGATGTGATCCTTTAGATTTTAATTTTCTAATTTACAAATCTGAATGGGAAATTTATTCTGAGAAGAAATAAAACCCCATTATATCACCACAACCCCAAGAAATATGTTTTGGTCTTATTCTGATATATACTGTCACATATCCAGTGTTTGTGTGACTAATAAGATGGGTTTTGAATTTGATGATCAAATTTACAGGATTTTTATACAACTGGTTACAACAGTTCACAAATCACTATCTGACACACTGTCATCTTCTTCCGACTGGACACTCCACTGGGACTATTCTGACTTCCAACTGAACTGAACTGAACTGCTCTACTCTGTTGTAGCCCTTCAATTCTCCTGCCCTACTTATATAGTCTGGAGGCGGACCCATAGAAAACACCATTTCTTCTATCGTATTTATAGCACCACTGCATAGCAACCTATGTTATCCAATTGCTGCCTGCGTATCAGTTGCCTTGGGAATGTGTTTACCGAGTCGCTACCTAGCACTGGGTTCATATGTCACAATATGCTACTTTCACAGTAGGCGCAAAAATGTCTAAATGTAGCACAATAACACTACATGTTGCTTCAGTGATCTTCAACCATATTCATGTTGAACATATGGGTATAAGTGAATATAAGGTAAAGTTGCCCTTGTGCTTAACTAATTAAGCACTACGCCATGAAGGTGTATGGGGGAGTGGATGTATATATCCACATTTTCTTGACCTCGACACTAGTTGGAGGTGAGTGGTCAGCTTCACGCCTTTGCCACTTTAACCCCGGAGAAAGAGCCCCCGGTACTCATTGGATAAGAGGTTGGGTGGACATCAGAGCCAGTGTGGACGAATTGGAGAAGAGAAAATTCTTGCCCCCACAGAGACTCAAATTTCAACCCCTCGGTCATCCAGCCTGTAGCCTGTCGCTATATCGATTGTGCTATCCTGGCTCTATAAGTGAATACACAAAGGATTCAAACAGGAAGCCTGTTTCAAGAGCTGAGTTCCGGGTTCCGAATTTTACCTTTTTGGGCTAGTGTAATTACAATAATTACACATGTGGGCCTGAGTTACAGTTTGAGACTTCTTGGGTAAAATCTTGATTATTTTGGTCTTATCATCTTCATCTCCTGATTCCTGAAACAACAGAATTCAAAATATTTCACATTCAACTGTAGAGACACTCATCCATTTGTGTAGGACCAGTCTTGCCAAGTCATGCAACATGAAACATATTTTAACATGTTGTAATATTTTTACCAATGTTTATTTTCAGTTATTCTCTTGTGGATATATTCTATAAATTTTTGAGAATAAATTTACATCATACTAGGAATAATCTTGCCACAAATTATTTAATTATCAGCTTAATTTTACACAAACATCGTCATCTGCATCTGCCCTTCCTCACGTTAGTATTATCGAGGTGCAGTATTTGAAAGTACCAAAGAATAAGTGACTTTTAACAGTGTTATATTCAGTTTTATTATCACCTGTCAAAACATTTAATTATTTTCACATGTAAGTAAGTGAGAAACTGTCCTCACAGTTATTTGTGAACTGCAAATACTGTAGGCCCTCATTATATCTTGCACATAATCATGCCCCCAATATGACCAAGTAACTTTCATGTCATACAAATTTCTATAAAATATTTTGGTTACAGTAAAACCAACATTCCTTGCTGTAGCATATAGGTGCAGAGGGTGAAGTCCACAGATGACTATGAACAGGCTCTATATTTCTGGTTTCTCTAACCCTGCGATTATTTTATTCAAACAACAAAATTTAATGAGCACTACTCCCATGATCAAAGATATATGGAAACCACAATGAGCTTAGATAAATGTCAGTTTTTATTTATAACACAAGTGCTGAAGCTCTCTCCTGAAGCCCGCTTCATATTAAAGACCTACCGTACTGCAGACTAAGGTAGCGGTACTCACCAAAGCAATACCACCTTCTTCACCTTCATCAAAATCATACACTGTGAGGTCCTGATCATCACCCTTATCATCCTTATCATCTGGTTGCTGAACAATGAGAACATAGCTCACTTCCCCTGGGTTTGTGTCAGATGGAACAATGGTAACGGTCTGATAAGCATCACCAGCATTTAATATCATCTGACCTGTAGATTCACCACCAGTTGTATTGCCCTGAAAATAAGGCAAAGTGCCATACAGTAAAACATTTGGTAAGCAATGCTTGTGTTAGAAAAAAAAAAACAATGAAAATTTCAGGAAGTGTATAACAAATGTGTCATGCATTACAACTAATACATAACTAATAAGTTAATTCATTAATTCGCTTAGTGGGTGGTGGAGACCAGCTGGGTCCACTCAGCACAGCGACCACTGATTGGCCTATTGTACTTGCCCCAGGTAATTACGATGATGGAGAATTAGGTAGAATGAAGATTAGCAAGGGAAACTGAAGTACTCGGAGAAAACCTGCCCCAGCGCCACTTTGTCCACCACAAATCCCATTTGACCACACCCAGGATCGAACCCGGGCCGCCGTGGTGGGAAGCCAGCGACTAACCGCTTGAGCTATGGCGCGGCCCTAACTAATAAGTTACAATGCTGGCAAATAATGAAACAAATGTTAAAATAATTTAGTTTTACTTGTTAATTTTCACTTCAAAAGCAGCTCTAAGTACAAATGACAACTGATAATCAAATCTGATGAAAATTTAAATTTAACAGAAATAAATGAAGTTTCTTTGCTACATTTACAATTAATTCAAGAAGATCAAAACTATGAATATCATTTTCATTCCATAACGTATAATTTATGCTGATTATTTAATATGCTTGTTACACTATGCTTCTGCAATATGCAAAACTCACCACTGACATGCAAAATCAAGTAAATCCTTGGTGGCATCTACATGATGTTACACTTCAAACAAATTTACTCTCTGGGAGGGAGGACTGAAATTTCACAGCTGAAGCAAAAGCCATTATGAAAAAATAAAAGTTACTTTGTTCATCATCTAGAAATAAATCTCCTGGTACTACACAGATGGTAGCCACACTGTAATTAAGGAGTAATGGTATACGCACTGAAAAGGTAATGTTTGGCCAGCTGGAACATGAATGTGCCATCACAAAAATGTGGTGGGCAGCCAGTAAAGGTTAAACCTCAAAATCAAAAGGGTACTGAAGAAAAATGCAACTTCTGTAATCATTTTTGAGTGCTGGGCCCGACAAAATCTGTATGATTTTACCACGGCTTTGTTTAGAAAACTGAATGGTGTGTCCATGATAAAAGATAAACTTTGTGTGAAATTGTTTTCTACTGATAGTGGTCGAGTAAAATACACTTACAAATGTATCTGTTGCTTTACAAATCCTAATTCGCAAGTTAGTTACATATTCATTTTCCTGATTATCTGAGGAAATCCATTTCCCATTCACCCTGAATTAATGGGGGACTAGTGTATATGGGAAACTGACAAGAAACATGTCCAAGGGCCCAATCTCACAAGGGCATAGCAAGCACAAGACATACACTCAACTGAATAACTGAGAAGTGCATGACACTCTCATGTAATTATATAGTCTGCTGCTAAGAACCAACTCCGCAGAGAGAGATCTGAGAGGTAGAAAGGAGGGTCCGACATCTGTCATAGCATTATCTTTACAGTGATCAGACGGACCAGTTCACAGGGTCCGATGATGCAATATGCCCAAAGAGTGAATTTCTACTGAATCTCTTTTTTTGTCATCCTCCTCAGGAAGAATTATACTGAAACTGTCCTCTTTGTTTATTTAATGACACTGTCAGTAACTCAGATAATATGGGTCAAATGATTTAAAGACAGCAAATAATGAATTGGAAAGGATTTGGAAGAAAGCAGCTGTGGCTTAATATAAGCTACTATCCCAGAATTTGCCTGGATGGACTGAGGAACAGCACAAAATACCTCACTCAGAATAACTGGCATTCTGGTCAAAATTCAAACCGAGCATCTTCTGCTTGAGCTAAATTGCTTGGTTGAAAAAGCCTTGTATATATGGAGGGTCAATATCTCTTTATGTGCCAGGCTTCAGATATTGTTATAATGAATGAAATAACCTACTGGCCCACATCTCATACTTAAAGCGGCCTAGCTTCAAACTAAGTCAAGGAAATAATATAAATTAATAATATAATGGAATCCACTAAAACAGTACCTCATATAACACAATATGTACATTTACTTACATCATCAGAAGCATCCATAGATGTTATTGTCTCTTCGACATGACCTTCCTGAGGCTGCATTGCAACGTAAGTTGCTTCAGAACTTCCATCGGACACTTCAGATGAGGCATTCGCGACCCCTAAAGATAAAAGTGAATACTATAGAATGATCTGATTGTACCGTTCAGTGATTGCTTTTACATGTTTCGGTCAATTAATGACCATCTTCAGAAGGCAAATAACAATACTCGAAGAAACTACTACTACATAAATCATAGTACATCAAGTTCAAAGTTGTCCAAAGTTTTATATGTAAAAAGATTTTAGATTAAGCTAAAATGTGGTGAGTTAAAATACTGCTAAAATTTTTAATATACAGAATTTTAAACTGCTAAGGTTTGTGTCTTCGTGGCCCTTCTATCAAAGGGAGAGTGGGTAGACTGTCGCCCTTGGGGGCCCAGGCAGTGTTTTTTCTTCTTTACACAGCTGGTTAAGAATCTGTGTTTGTTGTTGAGCTGCTTCTCCTTTTGTTGTTTTTTGAGGTGTACAAGTGAAAATAAACTGGTGGCATCCATTCCAACATAAAAAATGTTATAAATCAAATTTCCAGATTTCGTAGTTATCCTACATTAAAGTTATAAATTATAAAACGAATGACACGATAATGACAAATGAACTTTAGCTTGGTGAAAGGATCTATGCCAGAGGTGAAGAGTATGGATATCTGAAATGGTTGTGCCATAGCTCAAGCAGTTAAGTCGCTGGCTTCCCACAACGGCAGCCTGGATTTGATCCTGGGTCTGATCAAGTGGGATTTGTGGTGGACAAACTGGCACTGGGGCAGGTTTTCTCTGAGTAGTTTGGATTCCCCTGCCAATCTTCAGTCCACCAAATTTTGCATCATCATAATCACCAAGGACAGGCTACGATAGGCCAATCAGTAGCCACCATGCCGAGTGGATCCAGTTGTGTAATTCAGTGAGAGAGCCCAGCGTTTCAGAAGAACACATCAACATCTTCAGGGTGAAAGAGACATCCAAGTAAGAAACCAGCAAAAGCAGACAGCATGCTCACCTTCTGCTGGTTTCTTTCTTGGCTTACTTTTCAACCCTGAAGATGGAAGTGATATATTCCTTAATGTTACAAACCAGATGGCCATACTTGTCATTGTCACTGCCATCAGAACCTCAAATCCTACAACAGATCTGGAAAAGACCATTAAGATGAAACGCACAATACCTATGAATCTGACTTCGGTCATTCCAAATGAACGTAAAATTACTTATATCAGAACTCTCTAATTTGGTACAAATAAGAAGGTACAGAACTGTAGAAAATGCTGACAAAATGATCACATATTTTATTATTTTTTACATGATCATTCATTTTTTAGTCATTTGGACTCTGTTGCAGCTTCTTGATCACAGCAAAATAAAATGTTTACAGATGGGTCCATTCTTCTACTTCTTCCTTCTATGACTGATACTGTCACATGTACCAGTGTAACTAAAGAAGGGTTTGGATTGGTAATTTGATTTATTGGATACTTACAGGCCATAAAAAAATGTAAAGCAGTAAAGCTATCCCTGTAACAGGCCATGAAGGCCCATAGGGTTGTGAGACACTGAGGGTCCCACATTATCTAGAAAACTGACTCAAAGATGGCAGTAAGGTTGTCAGCCTTACACGCAGGCCGCGCTTTACTCCCCAGGAAAATTATTTAATTAATTCCTGGTACTCATTTCTGTTAGAGGCTGAGTCCTCCCCAAGGCCATAGTGCAGCTGGAAGGATTAGGTCAACTGAAAAAATCCAATGACCTTATTGGGACTTGAACCCGTGACCTTCCAGCTTGTAGCATAGTGCCTCAACCAACTACGCTACCGCATGTCCCCCACTTACAGGCCATAGCTATAAATAATTACAACTATGTTACTGATTTTCATACTACAAAGCACTCCATGCTAATCTCTTCAGCTTCTCTGCACTGGTCTTCATGGATTTATAATACAAGAATTATAAAAAAGTCTCACTAAATCACACTCTCGCAATATCAATGTGCTACAGCAACATAAAGCCTTCAAATCCCATGTTAAATCTTCATAGAGTGACTTCTTGTACTCTTCTGTACTCCTCCAGCTTACTGCTATCCTCTTGTTTGCGTGCATCTGCCGCAACTCTCCTACTCGTAACTACTTGTAACTACTTCATTACTACATTAGTTATATAATGAAGACTGAGTACTGTCAAAGTCAAAAGACAGAGGAAACGGCCATTGCTTGGCAACAGCCATAAGCATTTATTTCTACTGCTAGACAATGGCCTTTACATTATTTTCTATGTGTAGGCAAGCCCAACTCGTCATACATTTTCCATCAAAATGATTTCTGAGTTCCTTAAATGTACATTATGACACTACAACAAATAACTGAGAAAACTGTCGTGCTCTGTATGTTTATAGTACTGTTTTACTGACCTGCCTACATATACACAATAAAGATCTATAGTGAAAGAGAAGTAGGTGAATAATTCTTCCCAGACCTTTTTCTTTTTGTAAAATGTGGGGGGGGGGCAGGCAGCTACATGAAACCTGTATTTAGCTTTAATTTAACAGAAACAGCTACTGACTCCTGCAGAGAGGAACATAAAATCTAATATGAATCTGGACCATATATAGTATATTCCAAAATTCTGAATTAAATATAGCATCTGAGTCAACATGGCAGAAGTGTTGAGTCCTCGATGCTGCGTGCGCCAACTTCAGAAGGGAGCAATATAAACATCCTATTTAAAGCTAGAGGTTTACTTACTTACTTACTCATGGAGCTGAGCCCTTCTTGAGGAGCTGCCAATTATGCAGCTACTCAAGAATTTCCCAGAATTTTATGGAACCTGAAGGTTCATTACTGTGTTCACACTGGTCCCTATCTTGAGCCAGATCAATCCAATCCACGCCATCCGATCTCTCTAAGATCCATTTTAATATTGTTCACTCACCTTGGTCTTTTTCTGTCTGGCTTTCCCACCAATATCCTATATGCATGCTCCTTCGTCCCCATTCGTGCTACATGCCCTGTCCACCTCATCCTCCTTGACTTGATCATTCTAATTAAATTAAAACTAAATTATAATGATTGCTGAAGAGTACAAGTTATGAAACTCCTCATTATGCAGTTTTCTCCAACCTCCTGTCACTTAATCTCTCTTCAGTCCAAATATTCTCAACACCCTGTTCTCTCACACCCTCAGTTTATGTTCCTCCCTTAATGTCAGAGATACAGGTTTACTTAATATTAATAACATGTTCATGGAATCTATTTGTAACAACTAGGAGAACTTAAAATGCAAAGAACATGCGTGGAAACTCTGTGTATTCTGATAGAGATTACAGCTTTCTAAAAGTGTCGATTCTTACCCGAGACAACGGTCATTACTGGCTGTTGATCACTGCTTGCTTGGTAGTAATAGTGCCCTGACTGATCAACAAAATATGTCCCTTCTTCAGCAGTGTCGTCAGTAGTCACAACTTGCTGAACTTCTGGGAAAAATTGCAATTTTATGAATACAATAATGAGCACTGACAAATGACAATTTGAAGAGACACATTAATTAATTATAATGTTCACAAATTCAGATCTCTGCAGGCTTTAAAAATATTATCCAAAGCTGAAGACTGAATTATGTAAAACTAATAAATTGAATGAAGACAAAGGTAAAAATAAGAATAACATAACCGTGTCAAGAAAAATGAGCAACAGACAAGCCAAAATACAATTATATATTTTATTTTTTTTTTAACTGGCTATTTAATGATGTTGTCTGTGTAGACTATATAGCATCTGATGATAGAATGACTGATGAATGTGGAGCAGTTCATGCAATGAGAATTGGCAGAGGATCCTTAAGGACTTCGAGAAAACCTGCCCCAGTACCATTTTGTCCACCATAAATCCCACATGACCCAACCTACATCTGAACTCAGTCCACCATTGTGAGAAGCAAGTGGCTAACTGCCTGAGCTAAGGTACAGCCCCAATTATCAATTACAACAGAAAATCATAATCACCTGTCACATGTTGTACTATCTGATCTCCTCCTTGAATCTCCTTATTAAATGTTTCCAGATAATTCTGGATATCTGTAATTGTTTCACCAGCTTCCTGGCCTTCCATCTTGATCTGTACTGCAGAAAGCCCACCCGAACGGCTGGCTGCGGAGAAAAATATCTGTAACGCTTGTGCAGTAACACAAATTCAGTTTCTATGGCTGATATGTTAATCATTATATAAAATTCATAATGCAGCTGTATAATTTTAAACATGGCATATTCCAACTTATGTTGTAAAAGATATACATAATATTTTACCAGTCTTTCTTTCCTTGTCATCACTCATGACTTCAGCATCCAATGCTCCTGAAAATTAATTTAACAGTTAGACATGCAATTATATAAACACTACCGTAGCAATGGTTCCTCCTCCCAAGTGTATCTGGACCACCTACTTTGAACTCATAAATTTGGAGATATATGAAAACTGACAATCTTTTAGTCTTGAACTCCCATACGTTACGTTTCTCCTTTCCATTTACCTTCTTGTGAAACCTCACTGCTGTAATTTGATTACCATTTTACCAAAAAGTTGCCTGATTTGTATACAGGAGATGCTCCAATGAAATCTTGACCAGGGCACTATCTTGGCTGAGGATTTCTGTGGTTTTCCTTAGTCCCTCCAGGCACGCGTCAGGACTGTACCTTAAATTTGGCCCTAACTGCTTCCTTCCATATGCCTTCCAATTCAATAGCCATCACCCAATTATGTGACACTATATAATAACGAGTTATTTGACAGTGTCACTAAGTAAAATACAAATGGCAAAACATGATGTCTACAGCAGGATGGGGAACCACTCTGCTACTCTGCTGTTCCATACCAAGTAAAACCATAAAATTATAGAATAATATAACAGAGTACATAAACATCTGCACAGAACACACAAACAGCAATAACAACAATAAAAATGAACAGCAGTTTAAACGGAAGTAGCACTACTTCACAGCTACAGACAACACAACCTGGTAAAACTGTCCTGCATAGCAAATATTTGGAACTGGGAACAGTAAAAGACAAGTGCCCTGAAGGTGGAGCATGCACACATAACAACAATGCAGCCAACACTGCAGTCACAAAAAGTCTGGTTTTTGTGATATGTATAATTTAATGTGACAAATAATATAGAAGAAATATTTCAAAGAGCTGTATATGACTTAATGTTAACAGATTATAATTTTAGCATTCCCCCCTCCCCCAATCTATAGTTTTGGCCTTTCAAGGAAAATATCCCCTCCCCAAAAATAACTAAATTGTAACTGAGCATAAAATAACTGAACAAGTCTTGTCGTTTATACTTTTACTCACTTGGCGCAAGAACTGAGAGACAATATTCAAAAAGAAATTTCTGTTATTTCAAACGGACAGCTCGCTTGCATCTGCGAATATTTTTTCATAATGTAAGCTTTGCCTGGAAACAGAGGCTGAGAACATCAAATCTCTTCTTTACAACAAAGATGTTCCGTAGTGTGAGACAAAGTAGGAAACAACATCTGCAGGAGTCAATGGAACTATGTGGGCAGGTCAAAATGGTTCCACAGCATTCAGATAAAATGGTAATATTAAAAAAAAAGTTGTAGCCTCTGACATGATGGAACTTAAAAGCCTATGAGAATTTAACATTTTTTTTCTTCAATTCATTCCATATAGCTTTGCAAACCGCATAGCTCATGGTGTCACATTTATTTGTGAATTAATGATCTGGCAATGGCCTAATCTGAGATACTGCCTTGGGCAAAACCATGAAAAGCTCCAGTGAGAACTGCCAGTGTTCTGGCTGAGATTTGAACCAGAAACCTGCCAAACACAAGGCACAAGAGATACAGCTTGAGCTAGCTTCCTCTGTTATAATACTGAATGCCAGGACGAGTGACAAAATAAAGAACTATGTAGACGTAAGTGATCATGGCCTATTTTATCATTCCAGTATTTGCTGGAGAGATGGAAGAAAAACATGAATGTATTCACTTAGTAGAGTAAGTCTTTTGGCTGAAATTCAAATATGAAGCAGGAGTGCTTCCCATTACATTGTCGTATGTACTATAAGCAATTAGGAAACTCACTAGGATTTGGACGATCTATTTTAAACTATGTCTTCCAACATTTGAACACATTTTATGATGACAAATTATATGTTAACGATTCAAGACTTCCTGAACAGCAAACTGGATTTTGTTTTCTGCAGACTACGAGCACACAGAGGGTTTCAATAAAGATTTTACTTCAAATTCCACCAGCAATAAAGATCACATATTCAAATGCAAGGACTATAACTGACATAGTTTTATTCTCACTGCTAAGATCATAATATAAATTCTGTGGAAAACTTTACATTGACAATCTTGTAATGTGTACAGCTGCATTTATAAATACACTCAACTCTCGATTATCTGGGATAATCGTGGGGATGGATATCACAATTAATCGAAAACCCGGTTAAGACAAATTTTATTAAAAGTAGTACTGTAATAATGTACCTTAATAATACTATAGGCCTACCTGTATTTAAATTTATTCAACCTCATTTTTATGTCATCTCATGGCCTATTTAATACTTTTTTTACATTACACTGAAGTATGAATTAGTTATTTCAATCACAGTCTTCAACAACATCCAACACATTTTACGAATATTCACACTTAACAATTAAAAAAATTTAATACTGTCATTGCTTTTTTGCAGCATTTTCCTTTTTACAGATATCCATACGAAGCCTACGTAATATTAGCTTGTCACTTAATAAACTGTTCTCTTCACTCTCAAGATAGTCTAGTAAGGATTCCAAATGATTAAGAGCAGCACCATGTGATATTTTCTTACTAGCAGCACTGGCCACCTCTTCCTCATTCTCACTTTCTTCCCGCTCTTCTGGCTGCACCCTCACTGAACTTATGATTTCGTCACTGCTTAACATTTCAAAGCCCGGCTCACACGAGTTTCTGTTGAATACTTAACACAATACGCTTCCTTTTACACCCTGACATTTTTCTAACGCACTTCAAGATCGATACAAAGAGACTAACTGGGACGGTGTATCTGTCCTTGAAACTTTCCCTACCCTAGAACATTGTGTTACCATAACAGGACCAAAAAATGCAGAGCTCGAGTCACATTAGTGCGAAAATAGTGTTACAACTCACCATGTGAAACAAAAGCGAATGAATATTAAACAATACATAAGCCTCAAAAAAGCCCCGGTTAAGCCGCAAACTGGTTTATCCACCCCCGGATAATCGAGAGTTGAGTGTATGTCCAAATATGCTAGGACATTAGATACAAGTCCTATGGACTGGGAGTGATAGTGGCTGAGGCATACCCGTTTCTGCCTAGTGTTACATTCTCTTTCTGTGTGGTTTTCAATACCAACATTTATGAAACAGAGTTGCTAGACAAATGGAGGGCAATATATGAAGGTGGAAGCACTGATGGTGTATAGCATTTCCCATTAGATCATAATTTAACCCACCAGCAATGGCTCAGTACTGTGATTATGTCTAACATCACTGAAGTATGAACCTCAATACTAGTGGATATGATGGATCGGTATAAGGGTCGAAACATGCTGCATTTGTAAAAACAAATATAAACAAAATGTTGATACAGCAGTGTCTTCTTCGTTTTTTAAATACAGAATATTGTTGTGTAGACTGCATACATTATATACCTCTATATACCTTAACATCAGTAAGATGTATAATATGTATCTATACAGTAATTCATAAGAGTCCATTCATTGCATCCTTTGTGGCACTTCAAGATGGAATTATAATCTGATTATATTTGCTGCAAGTAATCTGTGCTAATTTCAGTATCATTGTCATTTAAGTATTCAAGCAATATAAATCTTTTGCTTACTTTGACTGTATATTTGCATAGTCTGGTCATTGCTTATTGTTTTATATAGATTATATTGTGTTTTGCCTCTTAATTCTGTTACTACACTTATGATTCAGCACAGATCATTTCTTAAAAACACAGGCTTCACCCAGAATATCCTTTGCTGGGCCATCTCCTCTGATTTGTGTGCCCAGAATGATTTTACAAATGAACTGTTCTTTAAAGGTTATTTATATAGCTAATCATTTTTTAGAATAACTATGCCGGGAGTGCAACTTACTTTTCATTTTAAAAAAGCTTCCTATGCTAAACTACACTGCACATTCAAACTAACCTTGCTTAGAACATATCCTACAGAAGTTCACACATTATCCATTTGCACAGTGACTGATTCATGCTAAGCACAATGCATGCTAATTCACTTACAAAATAATAAAACTTTCCACTGTACTTACCCTACTCCACAAACTTGTTCATGGGTCTAGGAACCCACACGAATTCAGTCACTACATGTTACAAAACATACTCTAGACCGCCATTTTGTAAAAAACAAGGATAAGCACCTAATATAGGGTAATACAATATGGGAACTCATATTAATGTTAATAAATAATAATATGCGAGGCATGGTGAAAGCGATCATATGCCTCCTCCAGAAAGTCACATTCAAACATGAGGGCCACAAAAGCGCCTCCACTTGCGAGAACTAGCTAAAGACATTTATAGTTTTACAACGCCATGAGTATCTTTCCAGTTCAGTGTAACGTTCGTATATGAAATGCATGTGAAAGGTCACCAGGAAATCTTAGATAATACACATATTTAGCCACAATTTCAAGTTGTCTTAACGATACGCAATCTACCGGGACAATTTCAACTCTATTTCTTACTTACAATTTTGGAATACAGGGGGCATTAACGGCAAAAATTGCTCAAAATTGGCACAGTTGGCGCTGTCATCAACATGGAGTCCATGTAAAAGATGGGTGAGCGTGGCTCTGACTATGTTGCAAATTTTACCTTGAATCACTGTCTTCGAGCGCTGCAATAATCATAAATAAGGAAATAAACTGACACCGCAGATTATGCAACAAATACACCGAGTTTCAGTAAAGAGTTTTACTAATATAAAACAGATAACATACCTTGTAACTCCAAATTTTACGAGGGAGGGCGTTGTTTGTGAACAAGGAGACAATATGGCGATCGAAGTTCGTTTTCGAAAGCAAGCATGCGCAGTGAGCGTATTGATCATAGACACAAACTCCTGGCCGCGTTCAATAAGCGAGAACACTAACCGGTGCGTGACAGAACGTGCAGGCGAGCCAACTTACTGTTTCTAACGGGAGGGCATATATTAACACCTGCTCAAATTACTGTGCTGATTATTGGTGTTTGTTACTGGAAGTTTATCTCCAGCAACACCAGGTCAAGGGAATTCGAATGTTCACTAATACGCATACAGAAATTACTGAATGTCTCTTTAAAAGAACAAGGGGCTCACACTTAATAACCTTTAATGTCAACTTAAAAATACAATATTGCACATATTACATAAATGTTTTTGTAATTTCATTTTACAGTAGGCCTACACGGGGACTATTTTATGAAAAAAAAATCTGAATCTCAAAAATCACAAATCTTCTGAGCTCTTAACATGACATCCGGTTGTATACAAAATGCATGAAAACTGGCCATAGGCTTCTTAACATTAAAAATGTACATTCTATTAACCAGTGTCCGCATGAAGCATTATGTATTCAAGTAAATTCAATTTAAACTGCAGTCTTGGTGCCTGTAGCTGCGAAATTGAGCACAACTTCCAAATGATTTTTACTTTTCATCTTCACATGTAATAGCATATATTTCAACATTTACAAACATGAGCACTCATTTCAAGCCTTGGGCTTAAGTTATTAATAAACAGTTTTGAAGCTTTTATCTGAAGGTTGAGGAATTCCATAATGCATCACACAAATTGATTTTGGATGTCACACATGGACACTGAAATATACTTTCACTCCTTAGAGTCCAAAGACATTCTGTTAAGATTAAATTATTTATGCTTACTTAAGGATTAGTTCATACAAGCCTTTACATTTTGCACCCTTATATAATGAGAGTAATCTGCCCCTGTAAGATATCAATAGTGGACTGGAATACATTAACCCCATTTTATTTTATTCTCAGCAATTAATTTATGAAATGATACCTAAAATAATACTGCAATCTCCTCACAACCTCAGAGCATTTTCAAACTGGCAAATTATGACCAACTCATTGTTGCTTATAAGAGTGTTCAAGGAGATTTTAGGTTGAACATTGGTTACCATATTTTATATTCCTTGTGTTCATTATTTTTAGTCAGTAATTCATACCCGTTTATCCATTTTACATATCATATAACAGCAATTATTTGTCCCCTTTCACTTAAGATAAAATAATAAATTCAATATTTGAGCCAAAATAGACTACAATATCTACAGTCATTAATTTTGGAATGTTAACAAATGTATTAAAATTGCTTTGATTTTTATTCAGGATTTTATCCTGTTAACATATTAACAGTCTGCAACATTAGAACAAATTGTATAGCATTATGTTTCATTGAAAGAAAAAACTGGAAATCTACAGGCAATTAACTGTTCATTTATTTACAGTATAAATTATTTTGAGTAGGTACTTGGTTATTTACTGTTTATTGCACAAAGTGTAAAGCTTTCATTTACAACTGTAAAGGATTCATGTATACTGTCTCACAAAGTTTACTTCTATAAGAGTATAACTAATCCCATGAATTAATTATATCATTACAGAACCAGAGTTTGCAAGATAATATCATATCACCCAACAAGATTCCTTTACAATTTTGTGTTTTCCAACTTCGTATTATTTCCCATTTCAGTTACTACTACAATTCTTTTTATTATTTACAAAAACACACTTGTAAAATGAAGTTTTATGAAGCTCTGAATGGAATAATTCATGATGCTTCCTGACATAATTCGAAATAAATATACCAAACATCAAAATACAACATAATCTGAATTACAGAACTAATCTGTCATCACAGAAATGGAAGTTCACACACACTATTCAACAAAGATGGAAGATAGAAATTCATATTAGTATATAAAAATAGTAATAGTAGCAAACATTTATATTTTTATTACAGAGGAAACACGCTGGTCTTATGAACAAGTCATTAAGTATCAACAATATAAATAGATAACAAAAGATTTTAATATCAGGTGATGTGTGTTATATTCCACTGTAGTGTCAGCATAGTGTAGGCCTTATTTAGTGTTGCAGTTTCTTATTAATTCAGCCCCTTTGGACTGAATGATCAATAAGTCTCTTCCAGGCCATGATTTAGAAATTCTGAAGTCTAATACAGAGAGCTGACACTGCCAGTAAAAGCATAAGCCATTACAACTAACATGGCTGTAAAGAGAGTTCCTGCAAGAACAATATTATCTTTATCTATTAACTGTGTTTAGTCATTCTTCTGGGAAGCACACATGTCCACTGAAATCGTGGGAGTCTTCAGTGAAAAAGTGTATTAAAACTACACCAACAAGTAATGTTATTATGATTGTCAGCCACTGTAATTTCTGTGTTCGCCGTATCTCAAGGTGAAGTTTAGACTGGCACTCTGTCAACCGTGACACCTGCACATAAACATACATAGGATTCATGTTTTAAAGCCAAACACAACATTTAATTATCTGTGGTTTATTTAATTTGCACTGTCAGTATCTCAAGACTAAATTACAGAATGATATGCAAATGATGAATTTTGAAAGAATTTGGAAGGAAGCAATTATGTCTAACAATAGACATCACTTTCTCTAATTTCAAACTTCCTGGTTTTCAGCTTCTCAGATAATTTCTGAAACTTTTCTTACCCATAACTTGCTTTAAAATAATGACCCTTAAATGGTTCCATTATGTCAAAAAATAATTATGAAAGTACTATTATAAAGATGTACAAATCAATATGGTCTGTAACATGTAAAGCTGTCCCTGTGCTTAACTAATTAAGCACTACACCATGGAGACATATGGGGGAGTGGATGATTAGATCATGTATTCTTGACCTCGGCACTAGCTGGAGATGGGTGGTCAGCCTCACACCGTGGCTGCTTTACCCGCAGGGAAAGAGTTCCTCGTACCCACTGGATAGGAGGTTGGGGTGGGGGATCCCAGAACCAGCCTGACAGGAAAAAATCCTGCCCCAGCTGGGACTCAAACTGTGAACCTTCAGCCATCCAGCCCACATCCAGTTGCTGTACTGAATTTACTAGCTCAGCTGTGGTCTGTATACACCTTAATTGAGAATTATTTATTTATGGTTTAACAGTGCTGCCTGCAGCTCAGAATTTATAGTGTTGGATGAGATGAGTAGTGAGTAATGAGTACAAAATGATGCGGAAAACAAGAGCGCAGGGAATAATTTGATGAGGTACTATCCTCATATGGCATGGCCCAGTTAAGTAATTATAAACTAAATTTTTATAACAAGGCCAACTGTATATCTGTGATTGTTACTGAGCACGGACACTTCATTTATCTTACAAATGCATCATAGCTAATGAAGAGTTCTACTTACTTCCGAAATCAGTTGTGCTACCTGATGGTCTGCATCCACAGAGTTGGCAGATCCACACACATTGCCATTTTTAATAACACCTGGTGCACTAAGACTGCACCTTAAACGGCGCTGTTCTACTGCTTTCCCTGAAGTTTGCTGAAAAAAAGAACGACCCACATGCTATCCTTTGAGATCATTCATGTACAGTCAAACCCCCCACACAGCATTCGAACAATTTAGGATTTTCCCAGATTCAACATTCAATTTCAGTGATTGGAAGTCAATAATATCAGCATTAAACTTACTCCACATAAGATTTTTCCCAATTTAGCATCAAAATCCGCTGATCTCCAAGGAGACCGTAAATGGGGATTTCATTGTAAACATAGATGAAAGGATTGCATAAATCTGACTGATGGATACTGACAACAATCTTTACAACAAAGATTAAAATACACAAAACTTTAATTTTGCCTGTTCCTTTGTATGGGTGTGGAACATGGTCTCTAACATTAAGGGAACAAGAGAATGAGGATGTCTGGGGAAGAGAAGCTGAAGTGAAGAGCTTCCTGATTTGTAATCCTCCCCAAATACTGTCAGGGTGTTGAGTGAAGAGGATGAGGTGAATGCGGCAAGTAGCACACATAGGTGAGAAGAAAAATCCATATAAAGTTTTGATTTAAGAAAAGAGATCATTTAGAAGACCTAGGTGTAGACAGAAGGATACTATTAAAATGGATATTTAGGAAACAGGATGGGAGGATACAGACCGAATTCAGCTGCAATCAGTGGCATGCTCTTCTGAAGATGATAATGAACTTTTGGGTTCCATAAAATGAAGTAAGTTTCTTGACTAGCTGAGCAACGATTAATTTCTCAACAAGAAATCTGTTTCATGCAGTTAGTTACTTCATAAGACTGTGAACATACTCACAGTCTGTTCTGGGACTGCTGATCACACATGCTTATTCCAAGTATTACTGTTGTATTCTACATTTCTTTTGCCTGAAATCTTTCAGTAACTGCAATAATTAAGTGTAAACCTATCTGACATCTTTAATAATATATAAAAATGTTTTAAATCTTGATGAATCATACCTTCCAGATCTCTGCTAATTCCTGTGTAGTCATATCTGCTGAGTCAACAGGGAAGTTCATAACAAGGAACTTGTCTCTTGAGAGAGCAGGGATCTGAAAGTCTGGCTGAAGCACAACGCTGATAGTGACAGATGCTGCTGGAACCAATATACCAGTGCTAGGACGCACTCTGAACTTTTCTGGAGATGTGGTTTTGATCTGTAATTTTTAACACAAATAGTGTGTTACTGATTCTGTTACGATGAAACACAAGAAGAACGCATTAACAGTCTTCATGAACAGCCAAAACATGGGCTTCAGTGAAGGATGTTTGTATATTTTTGTATTTATCACAGTACTAGAAGTACCATGGGGGCACGTGGTAGTGTAGTTGGTTGAGGCACTATGCTACAAGCTGGAAGGTCATGGGTTCAAGCCCCGATGAGGTCACTGGATGTTTTCAATTCTCCTAATCCTTCCAGCTGCACTAAGGCCCTGGGATTGACTCAGCCTCTAACAGAAATGAGTACCAGGGATATTGTTGGGGGTAAAGGGCGGCCAACACATAGGGCTGACAACCTTACCACCATCTATGAGCCGATTATCTAGAAAATGTGGGAACCTCAACATCTCACAACCATATGGGCCTCCACAGCCTGTTACAGGGATACCTTTACTTACTCACTTTACTAGAAGTACCCACAGTTTTCGTGGTATATGGTTGCTTTCCTTTTCAAAATCACTTTATATAGTAGCTAAAACTTAAACAAAAACATTATAATTAAGAAATTAAAGCTTATACATGTAATTAGAAAAGGCTGTACTCTTAATACTGCACATAACTTTAATAGCCATGGCTGTCATACACATTGGCAGCAAAATGGAGTAAACTTAATATCAATTGTTTTTCTCTGTTACACAGGTCTGCAGCAGGAAACAGAAACCAAAGAAGTTATATTTTATACATATTTAATGGTGGACTTAAAATACATTCAGTTACGGTATTTTAAATCTGCAAGCTATTTCAGCAGTTTAATTAGCATCTTGTCCTGTCTTTTATTTATGAGATATTCTACCAAAGGCAAATATTCTGAAAATATAGGGTTTAAAACATTCGAAACCAGGTAAAGGTAAATTTGTCTCTGTGCTTAACTAATTGAGCATTATGCCATGAAGACATATGGGTGAGTGGAGCTCCAGCATTTTTGACCTTGGCACTAGGCAAAGGTGAGTGGTTATCTTAATCTTTCAGCCACTGGAACCCACTGGATAGGAGGCTGGGTGGGCCCCAGAGCCAGTCAGGATGCTGCGCAGAAGAGAAAAATCTTGCCCTGGCCATTCAGCCTGTAGTCCATTGCTATACCAAATGAGCTATCCTGACTCTCTATGTTTTAAAATGCCCCCTTCCTCTTCTACAAATAACATTGAAAAGTACAGGCCATCCCTTGGCACCAAGTCCATTCAAAACACCTACCATGGATTCTTTTTTTAAATATTGCGAAAATACTTGACCTGACACCACACAAGCATTTGACTGTGAAAGAGTTAATTTAAGGCCATTCATACCTTGTACGATATTATTTTGTCACCATTATTGGTCAGTGTAACAGTTCCAGTCAATTCATCATATTTTTGGCTAAAGCAGATAACATCAGGTGGATGGATGATTAGGGATGAATCTACATAAAAAGACAAACTGTGTTAAATAATGAGTTGTTTCAAAAAGATGCATAAACCATGTTTTATTTTACTACAGCCATAATACTATAAAAGAGTGAAAAGAACATTAATGATTAACTGTACTCACTTTGTAAAGCTGATCCATCACTCCTGGTTGCTGCCTCACCAAAACTACTAGGATATGGTTCTACTGATGGTGATCCATCAGCAAAGTGAACCTACACACAGTGATAAAATATATATTAGAGCACAGTGGCACATTCCTAAAAACTCCACATAAGTACAAGTAACTTCACTTTAACCTCATTATTTTCAAAAATTAAAACTATGATACATATTCCTTGTGTGTTGAATCCTGTTCTGTTGTGTACATAAAATATTTATTGTTTCAACAATTATTTAAGGAGTATACAAATGAATGTTTACATTAAAGTCATCAAACTTAAAGGTGTTGAAACATTTCATGCCTTTAGGAGTCAAGACATTAATGTAAACATTCATTTGTATACCTCTTAAAGAATTTTAGTGTTGACAGAAACAATAAACATTTTTTGTTACAGATACTTACACCCCTTTAAAAGAAGACAAAACTTTGTACAATATCAAACCTGATAATCTAACCCTAACTCAAAATTACTGTCTTACCTAAGATCCAAGAGGGAGAGTTATCAGTTTGTAAATATGTATTCAGTATTACTGGTACTAGATTCAGGGGACTTTCCATCATCTGTGATCTCTTTTTATATTGTCGCACAGTATCATAAACTAACTTGAGCAACTTATACAAATGGGCATTTTTAATGATACAGATTTTTTTTTTCCTCGGCACTACAGCCCCAGTGGGCCTAGGCCTACCTCCATGGACTTCTTCGTTCACTTTGGTTTTTCTAGATCTAAGACATACGGTAGGACTCCTTGGATGGGTGATCAGCTCGTCGCAGGGCAATGATACAGATTGGTTCCAGGCAAAGTCCCTGACATGGTACCAATCAATCCAGGTATGTGTGCTGATGATGCCCTGTGTGTGTGTGTCAGACTTCATACACTTTGGAAAAGTCTCCTCTATTTAGGAAGACTATTGGATGACCACTCTTCACATAACAAAGACAAAAAATATGGGCTTCATAAGTCCAAAATCAATTGGTTAACATTCTAAAGGCTGTGGTTCTTACCTTACTGCATTCTGTTTCATTTAAGTAATAATTTAAAATTTTTTAATGTAGTATATTTATGTAATACCTTTTTCTTGCTATCATCAAATCTATCATTTGGCACTGTTGATCGTTGCTCAGGAACAAATGTAAATATGTAATCATCAAGGCCTCCCCAGCACTTCAGGGCTTGATCAGGGTCAACATACTCCTTCAGGTTCGATTTATTTACAAATTTGATTTTTTGAACTGCCTTTGCTGGTAGCCAAGATTTTATAATTTTGAAGGCAGCTACAACCAGAAAGAACATAAAGTCAAAATGGCATCCCTGTTCATAAAAGACAGAAATATGACTTCATCAGCAGCAAAGACTACTTACCATTCAAAATCCATGGCATCTCAAATACCAGAATGTAATTAAGGAAATCAGGATAATACATCTTAAACAAGCTAATCAGATACTTGATAAATTCCATATCCATATTTGACATTCCGCTATCAGCCATATCAAAGAAGATGCTGATCTGATTACCATTACCTAGCCTGAAAATAATTTAAAATCTGTAATATATATTCAACATGATCAACTATGGTGGTTTGACCATGTGCAAGGAATGGATACAACAAGGATACCAAGAGAGAAATTAGAATTTTAAACAAAAACTGGACAAGATGGTTTACCCTGGTACTGGAAGACGTCAAGAAGGGATGAATGGGCAGGAAATAAATCAAAAAGGAGAGAATGCTGGAAGAGGGAAGCAATTGGAGAACTAACATTCAATGATCCACACAAATCAGAAATGATGCTAGAAGATATTTTAGCCAGTTACGGTGCTTCGTTGAGCTCTATGCAGATGTTCAATTCTAATGAGAAAATATGTGAAAATTCTTTCCCTGTATTAAAGTGGCCCAGACCTGTGTAGTTTCTTGAGGCACTATGCTACAAGCTGGAAGGTCGCGGGTTCAATTCCCGATGAGGTGGATTTTTTCAATTGACCTAATCTTTCCAGCTGCACTATGGCCCTAGGGTTGACTTAGCCTCTAACAGAAATGAGTACCAGCAATTTTCCTGGGGGGGGGGGGGGAAAGGGCAGCCGGCACCTAAGGCTGACAATCTTACCACCATCTGTGAGCTGACTGCCTAGAAAATGTGGGAGCCTCAACATCTCACAACCCTATGAGCCTCCACGACCTGTTACAGGGATAACTTTACCTTTTTACCTTAAAGTGGCTCAGGCCTGATGCTGAAACTCACCATGATATAGTGCCGAAGTTAAGAATGCATGGAGCTCTACCTTAACTCCTCTGTAAGTCTTAAGGGTGTGGTGCTTACTTAAGAACTGGGACAGTTTTACTTTAAACTCTAAGTAACAAAATTTACTTTTTAAAAACAAGTCTGATACTGACAGGTTCGGGTACATATATGCAACATACCAAATGGGTTATTACCTCTCCAGCCTTTCGAACCAATATACAACACATCTCTTCAGTTCTTCCATATCTCGCTGACCTTTCACGTGTTTCTTAGATTTAAATATGAGAAGAAACTTTCCATCTTTATCTTTATTATGAGCGAACAAGCTGCCATCTTGTAGATATTCTATCTTTACATTATTCTCACTGATTTCTGAAATTAAGCATTTCCATAATTAGGAACTGATAATCACATCAAAACAAGGAAAATTACCAAAAATTCTGAAACAATGTGACCAGAAGTGAACATAGGAGTTTTATTGATAAATTTTTTGATTCTCACCCGTGATGCCGTGTAATAATTCCCAAATAAATAAGATCTAAATGTTTGTGACAATGGCACATTAGTACAAAAATTATATTTTTGGACATTATCCATCATCCTGTCTTTATCTAAAAACCATCCGGAGATAGGGATTAGCTATATTGATTGGGCCCAACTGAGTAGGTTTTACCTGATGACGGAGACAGAATCCAGTCTCCAAAACATTGTGTTTTGGTCCAGAGGTAGGGACTAGCTCTATTGATTGGGCCAAATTGAGTAGGTTTTACCTGATGACGGAGACAGAATCCAGTCTTCAAAACACTGTGTTTTGGTCCAGAGATAGGGACTAACTCTATCGATTGGGCCAAATTGAGTAGGTTTTACCTGATGATGGAGACAAAATCCAGCTCCGAAACGTTGTTGTTTTGAAAAATACACAGGATGGTTTTTAGATAAAGACACAACAATGTATAATGCCCAAAAACATAATATTTGTACTAATTCCCAAAAGATTTTCTAGTGACAGAAGGTGCAAATAGGGAGGCACTGAAAACTTGGGAGAGTAGAAACTGCTACCCACAGCTAAGCAACAAACAGGGCTACCTGGGAGGTTTATGAGCAGTAAAAACATTTTACCTTCTGTATGCATTACTTACCATTGGTCCCAAACTTCTTCCGCCATTCACAAGTGTCCCAAAGCAATTGTAATGCAAGTTGCATATCCAATTCTGAGTGCAAAAGAAATCGCTTCAACCAGTCATCACTGTTCTTCACTCGAGCTAGGTCAACAGGATGAAACCCTTCTGTAAAATAATACAGATAAAATTGTTCTATATTATTCAATTACTTGTTCGCTGTGCATGTTATTTTATCAAAACCTGTCAAATCATATGATGCAACATAGTGCACAGCACATAATCCAAAAGGCCAATGGAACATTACGTGCATTTGAGGAATAGTATATCTCTAGTAACAAGTTACAGCAACGTAGCTAAGGTGACATGATGGCGGTGAATAGGTGATATGTTTCACAGTAGGGGGAACTCATCCTAGGTGAATGGTTCCAGCACTTGATACTGGAAATTGAAACAACCTTTCCCTCTTTACAATTTTCTGTATTCTGCCAAATAACTGAAATATCCTATGGCCAGGGACTTTTGGCATACCATATATATAGATTACAAGTAAAATTCTGTTTTGTATCTTGTAAGGGGGCACGCAGTAGTGTAGTTGGTTGAGGGGCTATGCTACAAGCCAGAAGGTCATGGCTTCAAGTCCCAATGAGGTCATTGGATTTTTTCAATTGACCTAATCCTTCCAGCTGCACTATGGCCCTGGGGTTGACTCAGCATCTAGCAGAAATGAGTAGGAGGAATTAATTAAATAATTTTCATGGAGAGTGACACGCGGCCAGCGCGTAAGGCTGACAACCTTACCGCCATATTTGAGTTGATTGTCTACATAATATGGGACCCTCAACGTCCAACCCTATGGGCCTTCATGGCCTGTTACAGGGATAGCTTTACTTTTTTTTACTTTTACTTTCTATCTTGTAAGCAAGTCAAGTCTCCTGTCAGTGAACAAACATGTATGAACAAAGATCAGAGGTTAGGTAAAAGTAAAGTTTACCCTGTGCTTAGTTTATTAAGCACAATGACATGAAGAAAACACATGATGGAGTGGAGATGTTTGTTAGCAATTTCAATAATGACATTTATACCACACCATGCCAAGGACAATTTATACAGACTCACAACAAGGACAGACAATGGTAAAGTTCAAATGCCTCTTACATGCAGGAATGTTGCCAAGCAATGTTTCAAAACCACAATGTTGGGGAGTGGATGGGAGCAAAACGACAGGGTATGAATGGCAATGAGCATTCTGCCTCAAGTATGTGGTGACCTTCATTTGTGTGTGGAGAAGGATATGGGAATGAAAACTGACTACATACACTGTTACAAAGGATGTGCTGTCTTTAATCTCCGATAAAGATACTCAACATAAGAGATGTTTTATTATACAGAATCATTATAGAATCTTTGATCATTTTTATGCCTTGACAGGTTTGCAAAACAAATGTAAAAGCAACCTTTTCATTGGATTAGCTCATCAATCAAATTCAGACATAAGAGAAAGACTTAAAGTTACAAATATAGTTACGAGAGACACAAGCATAGCAACAAAACTGGATAAATAATATGGAACAAATAGAAAGAGAATGCCCTTTACAAGTGGTGTTGCACAACAAACCAAAGGGCCAACAGGTCTTGGGGCAACCAAGAATATCTTGGGAAGTCATAAGAACAGATCTTAATGATTTAACACTGAAGTCCATGATGACGATGAGGAACCTTCATTTGTCACAATAAAGAATGATCACTGAAGTTATAACAACAGGATTCAATCACCATCTTTCATTCAGATTTTACCAACACATTAAAAAACTCATATTCTTGTTGGACAATTTGTGATTGTCCCTAAGTTATTAAAAGAATGTACTCTCAGTGAATAAATTATGTATTTATATGACTCCACAGGGGGCAGATAAGCTCTGGTGGTGTCAGGAAGTCATTTTATTTGTCTCTCCTGATTAAACTGTCTCAGATGTCTTTATTCCAAAACAAAGTTATCCTTGCACAGACATCAACTCTGCTTGCCATATCACACAATGTTTCCTCAAATGTTGTCTCTTCTACTGACTCATATGATATGATGTAATGGGAAGGTGGGGTGGTCTAGGTCAGGTCTGCCACTGCCTCTTCCTATCCACTTCCTTTCCATTTTGACAGCTACTTAGGAATGTGCTGAATAGGGCTACAAGTATGTCAGTGAAAAGCAGCAAAGTTCTGACATATGCAGTAAGCCTTATTGTTGCAGTAATGAACACCAACTTTGATGTGGTTCTTATTCAGTTGCAGAACTGAGAAATAATTGCAGGCTAAGGCAAATTACAAATACAGTCAAGTAGAATAATGATAAAATACAAAGTTATCTTTATTAAACCTTCTTATCTGCTATTTACAATATGCTCACAACTTACATGGGCTTAAAATCGTATAAGAATTTTACACAGACATTTTATGTGTAAAAACTGACCAAGGGGATCAAAGCTTCTTGCACATCTTCAAGTGTATCCCTGATGGCTCAAAGAAGATGAAGCTTTGTGAGAAAGCAGAATGAAGGTGATTGAGTTGTGACATACTTCAAATACTTCAGTAGTTCAAGTAAATGTTATCTATAATATTGTATTTAAGCATCATGCTGCATTAATATATTCTCCACAAACTACAGATCCGTCCACAGTGCAACCTATTTACTTTCTCCTTCTCCTTTTCACTTTCACAAACTGTTTCGGCCGTACAGGGCCATCATCAGGTGTTCTTTTGTCCAAGCATCTGATTGTACAGTCATCTTGACAATACACAACCGGAGTCTCTGACAGGTCAATCTTATAAATCTACACTCCCTTATAAATGCTCCTTTTAGTATTCATGGGCCATATTTACTGCTTGGATGATGTACGTCATCCTAAACAACTGTTAACTGTAATTCATTTGGGAATTTGGGTAATACTTCCTACCATTCAGTTCAGAAACTTTTGTCTGCTTGTATGCTGTCTAGAAACATGAAGCTTAAAACATACATAACTAAAATGCTGTCTGTAGTTTCATACAGGTGTGCAAATTTGTCTGACACAAAGTGAGTGTGTCTGAGAACAGGGCACTGAGAATATATGGAGATATGAGGGATGAAATAACAGGAGGCTGAACAAACTGCTTAATGAAGAGCTTCATAACAAGTACTCTTCACCAAATATAATTGGAATGATTATGTCAAGAAGCACGAAATAAGAAAACGGAAGGCTAATTGGATTGGTCATATCTTACGCGGTAACTGCCTTCTAAAAGAAGTTATTGTAGGAAGGATAGAGGGGCGGACAGAAGTGACCAGAAGACGAGGAAGAAGATGTAAGAAGATGCTGGATGACCTTGGGGACAGAAGAGGATATTTTCTTTTGAAGGAGAAAGCTCTAGATCGCATCAAGTGGAGGAACTGTTTTGGAAGAGACTGTGGACCTGTTGTCTTGATAGAGTACAGATGAATGAATGAAAGTCAAGAAGGGTGAGACAGAAAAGGCATGTATCAAGAATATAGAAGAGAAATACATAATTTTGGTGGGAGAGCTAAAAGGAAAGAAACCAATAGAAAGACTTAGATATAGGCAGGAGGATAATATTAAAATGCATTTCACAAAAAATGGATTGGATTTATCTGGCTAAGGTATGCATCAGTGGTGGCTCTTGTGAGCACTGTAATGAACCTTTGGTTCAATAAAATGTTGGGAAATCCTTGAGTAGCTGAGCAGAGGGTTCTGAAGAAGGACTCAACTCCATGAAATTAGTTACTGAATTTATCATTTCTTGTAATATTCACTTATTCCATAGGCTGATAGTCTTGCTAATGACTGTGTCATTAAATAACCAACCATGCCTTTTAAAGATTTCAATTTACAGTGAACACTGTTGATTATTAGACTATTTCAAGATTACACACCAAGGCCGACGTTATTCGGCATAATACTGCCGCTTAACCGTGACGGCATTTTAAGTAAATGTCATACCTGGATCAGAAGTACCTTCATTTTCAAGCTTCTGAAGAAATCTTGTTCTCAAATCTTCTACTTGTTGGACAGTTGGTTCCATGTTACGTACGTTCACTATTATCTACAGCAGCTGTCACCTGCAAGATAAGGTTGCGGTTTCTCTATACAAACACCTCAGTACAAATAAATCTTCATGCAGTTAAATGAACCTGCATAATATTAGCTGCTGTCTATATCATTAACGATTTTAATAACTAAGGGTGCGGAGTATTTAATGAGTCTCAACTGACATTTCTCTAGAAACCCGTATTAGCCTTCCTTGCCGACCATACGACTCCCAACCACTACTATCAACCGTTATCAACTGACCTACACAACTTCACACGACTTCAAATGTCAAAGTCTACAAGATTTACGACACGCCTTGCGCCATGCTCGAACTTTGCACAGCTTAAACCACAGATGCTTAAACTAATGCTCGTTCAGGAAAACAGCGGAACACGATCCGAGCGATCCGAGCAGCCACTTCATGTAAACGGTTCCCTATACGTCAGAGAAATTTAAAACTATAAAGGAAATTAGCATATTTAGGTTGCTAGCCCTGTTACGCGCGTACATTTGAAACATTAAAAGATTGCGCACGATGAGAATATGTTCGTTTCATTAAAACTGACGATTATTGAGAACTTTTCCAGAACTTCTTAGTGCAATCCCAGAATTAAAATATTTTTAATTTTATTTCAGCACTATTGATACTCTGTCACTTGCTGTATTACAGAATTGCAGAACAGCAAGCTTTAAAACTTCTGAATAAATGTAAGAACATGATTTTGAAATGTTCTACTCCTTATTGCCCTCCAAATACTGTTAATGGTCACTCTATCCATTTCATGACCATTACAGTTTTGGTATTTATTATTATTATTACTAATCCATAAATTTCGGTTTTTTAAGTTTAGTAGTTCAGTTCTTCAACATTGTTTTTTTCAACTCAGTCATTAGCAAACACTAATAATTTTTTATTTAGTTGTAGGATTTGACATTCTCACAGCGATGTTTATGAGAAGTACTATCTTCTGGGATATAAAGCCGTGCAGCCTGTCGAAAGTTAACTGACATTTCAAAGGAACATACTGCTCAGTCTATTCTTCGAACCTTGATGGCGAGATGTTCCTTCAAAACATCGGCTGACTTTCAATAGACTACATGGCGTTATATCCCAGATGACAGAACTCTTTGATTAAATTGTTTTTGCTACTGTTTTACTACTCCACTGCATATTTCTTCATTATACATTGAACAAAATGGGAAAAGAATACTTCATCTTCTACCACTCTTTATGAGAAATATGTCATATACATTTGTATATGTATACATTAGTCATGGTAGGGAAACTGGCCCCATTCCTCAAGAAAATGTGGGAATTAATTTTCCATATGTAGCATTTTCAAACCAAATGTTCCTCTTGCAAAGGTGGTTGATATAANTAGTATATCTCTAGTAACAAGTTACAGCAACGTAGCTAAGGTGACATGATGGCGGTGAATAGGTGATATGTTTCACAGTAGGGGGAACTCATCCTAGGTGAATGGTTCCAGCACTTGATACTGGAAATTGAAACAACCTTTCCCTCTTTACAATTTTCTGTATTCTGCCAAATAACTGAAATATCCTATGGCCAGGGACTTTTGGCATACCATATATATAGATTACAAGTAAAATTCTGTTTTGTATCTTGTAAGGGGGCACGCAGTAGTGTAGTTGGTTGAGGGGCTATGCTACAAGCCAGAAGGTCATGGCTTCAAGTCCCAATGAGGTCATTGGATTTTTTCAATTGACCTAATCCTTCCAGCTGCACTATGGCCCTGGGGTTGACTCAGCATCTAGCAGAAATGAGTAGGAGGAATTAATTAAATAATTTTCATGGAGAGTGACACGCGGCCAGCGCGTAAGGCTGACAACCTTACCGCCATATTTGAGTTGATTGTCTACATAATATGGGACCCTCAACGTCCAACCCTATGGGCCTTCATGGCCTGTTACAGGGATAGCTTTACTTTTTTTTACTTTTACTTTCTATCTTGTAAGCAAGTCAAGTCTCCTGTCAGTGAACAAACATGTATGAACAAAGATCAGAGGTTAGGTAAAAGTAAAGTTTACCCTGTGCTTAGTTTATTAAGCACAATGACATGAAGAAAACACATGATGGAGTGGAGATGTTTGTTAGCAATTTCAATAATGACATTTATACCACACCATGCCAAGGACAATTTATACAGACTCACAACAAGGACAGACAATGGTAAAGTTCAAATGCCTCTTACATGCAGGAATGTTGCCAAGCAATGTTTCAAAACCACAATGTTGGGGAGTGGATGGGAGCAAAACGACAGGGTATGAATGGCAATGAGCATTCTGCCTCAAGTATGTGGTGACCTTCATTTGTGTGTGGAGAAGGATATGGGAATGAAAACTGACTACATACACTGTTACAAAGGATGTGCTGTCTTTAATCTCCGATAAAGATACTCAACATAAGAGATGTTTTATTATACAGAATCATTATAGAATCTTTGATCATTTTTATGCCTTGACAGGTTTGCAAAACAAATGTAAAAGCAACCTTTTCATTGGATTAGCTCATCAATCAAATTCAGACATAAGAGAAAGACTTAAAGTTACAAATATAGTTACGAGAGACACAAGCATAGCAACAAAACTGGATAAATAATATGGAACAAATAGAAAGAGAATGCCCTTTACAAGTGGTGTTGCACAACAAACCAAAGGGCCAACAGGTCTTGGGGCAACCAAGAATATCTTGGGAAGTCATAAGAACAGATCTTAATGATTTAACACTGAAGTCCATGATGACGATGAGGAACCTTCATTTGTCACAATAAAGAATGATCACTGAAGTTATAACAACAGGATTCAATCACCATCTTTCATTCAGATTTTACCAACACATTAAAAAACTCATATTCTTGTTGGACAATTTGTGATTGTCCCTAAGTTATTAAAAGAATGTACTCTCAGTGAATAAATTATGTATTTATATGACTCCACAGGGGGCAGATAAGCTCTGGTGGTGTCAGGAAGTCATTTTATTTGTCTCTCCTGATTAAACTGTCTCAGATGTCTTTATTCCAAAACAAAGTTATCCTTGCACAGACATCAACTCTGCTTGCCATATCACACAATGTTTCCTCAAATGTTGTCTCTTCTACTGACTCATATGATATGATGTAATGGGAAGGTGGGGTGGTCTAGGTCAGGTCTGCCACTGCCTCTTCCTATCCACTTCCTTTCCATTTTGACAGCTACTTAGGAATGTGCTGAATAGGGCTACAAGTATGTCAGTGAAAAGCAGCAAAGTTCTGACATATGCAGTAAGCCTTATTGTTGCAGTAATGAACACCAACTTTGATGTGGTTCTTATTCAGTTGCAGAACTGAGAAATAATTGCAGGCTAAGGCAAATTACAAATACAGTCAAGTAGAATAATGATAAAATACAAAGTTATCTTTATTAAACCTTCTTATCTGCTATTTACAATATGCTCACAACTTACATGGGCTTAAAATCGTATAAGAATTTTACACAGACATTTTATGTGTAAAAACTGACCAAGGGGATCAAAGCTTCTTGCACATCTTCAAGTGTATCCCTGATGGCTCAAAGAAGATGAAGCTTTGTGAGAAAGCAGAATGAAGGTGATTGAGTTGTGACATACTTCAAATACTTCAGTAGTTCAAGTAAATGTTATCTATAATATTGTATTTAAGCATCATGCTGCATTAATATATTCTCCACAAACTACAGATCCGTCCACAGTGCAACCTATTTACTTTCTCCTTCTCCTTTTCACTTTCACAAACTGTTTCGGCCGTACAGGGCCATCATCAGGTGTTCTTTTGTCCAAGCATCTGATTGTACAGTCATCTTGACAATACACAACCGGAGTCTCTGACAGGTCAATCTTATAAATCTACACTCCCTTATAAATGCTCCTTTTAGTATTCATGGGCCATATTTACTGCTTGGATGATGTACGTCATCCTAAACAACTGTTAACTGTAATTCATTTGGGAATTTGGGTAATACTTCCTACCATTCAGTTCAGAAACTTTTGTCTGCTTGTATGCTGTCTAGAAACATGAAGCTTAAAACATACATAACTAAAATGCTGTCTGTAGTTTCATACAGGTGTGCAAATTTGTCTGACACAAAGTGAGTGTGTCTGAGAACAGGGCACTGAGAATATATGGAGATATGAGGGATGAAATAACAGGAGGCTGAACAAACTGCTTAATGAAGAGCTTCATAACAAGTACTCTTCACCAAATATAATTGGAATGATTATGTCAAGAAGCACGAAATAAGAAAACGGAAGGCTAATTGGATTGGTCATATCTTACGCGGTAACTGCCTTCTAAAAGAAGTTATTGTAGGAAGGATAGAGGGGCGGACAGAAGTGACCAGAAGACGAGGAAGAAGATGTAAGAAGATGCTGGATGACCTTGGGGACAGAAGAGGATATTTTCTTTTGAAGGAGAAAGCTCTAGATCGCATCAAGTGGAGGAACTGTTTTGGAAGAGACTGTGGACCTGTTGTCTTGATAGAGTACAGATGAATGAATGAAAGTCAAGAAGGGTGAGACAGAAAAGGCATGTATCAAGAATATAGAAGAGAAATACATAATTTTGGTGGGAGAGCTAAAAGGAAAGAAACCAATAGAAAGACTTAGATATAGGCAGGAGGATAATATTAAAATGCATTTCACAAAAAATGGATTGGATTTATCTGGCTAAGGTATGCATCAGTGGTGGCTCTTGTGAGCACTGTAATGAACCTTTGGTTCAATAAAATGTTGGGAAATCCTTGAGTAGCTGAGCAGAGGGTTCTGAAGAAGGACTCAACTCCATGAAATTAGTTACTGAATTTATCATTTCTTGTAATATTCACTTATTCCATAGGCTGATAGTCTTGCTAATGACTGTGTCATTAAATAACCAACCATGCCTTTTAAAGATTTCAATTTACAGTGAACACTGTTGATTATTAGACTATTTCAAGATTACACACCAAGGCCGACGTTATTCGGCATAATACTGCCGCTTAACCGTGACGGCATTTTAAGTAAATGTCATACCTGGATCAGAAGTACCTTCATTTTCAAGCTTCTGAAGAAATCTTGTTCTCAAATCTTCTACTTGTTGGACAGTTGGTTCCATGTTACGTACGTTCACTATTATCTACAGCAGCTGTCACCTGCAAGATAAGGTTGCGGTTTCTCTATACAAACACCTCAGTACAAATAAATCTTCATGCAGTTAAATGAACCTGCATAATATTAGCTGCTGTCTATATCATTAACGATTTTAATAACTAAGGGTGCGGAGTATTTAATGAGTCTCAACTGACATTTCTCTAGAAACCCGTATTAGCCTTCC